TCAAACATTCATTCAACATCAGGAATACCACAGGAGCTTATCTAGGGATGGTGGAAGAAAGGAAAAGAAAAAAAAAATCAGAATAGATCCCTGCTTCCAAAAACCCAATACAAATGAAAACTCAGAAGGCCAAATTAGAGACTCCATTAGTCAGTTTGTGTGAAGGACTCCTTCTATCCACCCAAGGTCCTTCCCCAACTCCCCATGACCCTACTCTCTCATCTTAAAACTTTTTTTTCCCTCTCTGTGCATTTTTTTTCCTCACCTCCAGACAGCTGCTGGACTTACAGCCCTCATATGTTACCAAGCTAATGCTTCCCCTTTTTCTTGCAGAGCCAACATGTCATATATATTCATGAGCAGACATGAAAGATGGTCATGGATGATCCCCTTCAGTTAACAAGGTTTGGATCTACGAAACTCTCACCCCTCTGAGTCTTCCAGACAGTTAAGAAAACATTGGCTAGTTACTGTTTACTTGAGTTGTCACCCTTGGTGCTCTGAGTGAAACAAACTGCATCTCAGACACTAACCGGCTTCCTGGCAGAGTGACAGTCCAGAGGATGAGCTAGAGAGGGAGCTAGAGGAGGAGAATGAAAGACGCCCAGCTGTGAGTTCAGCTGTCTTTCAGATCCATGACTACACCGAGCAATGGGGGATGCATGCAGATTTGCACACTCTCTGTTCCTGGCAGATACGCTCCCTGCCATGGTTGGCTACGTTACCAAGTACCTAAAAAGCTAGAAAGACACTTCCTTTTCCCTGGGCTCCAGTGGCTCCACAGTATCTATGGTGAACTGCTCCTTAAACCTCTCTAACCATTGACTCTATCTGGCCTCCAGGATAAGCATGTTTTCTCTGCTCATGAGGCTGGGAATGACACAAAGCTTTCCAATATGGCGAGGCAGCAACAAGACAAATCTTCAACATTCCCTAGAATTAAAATAGCCTTCTCAAAAATTCTCTGCTGCTGCAGTCCAGAAGAGTTAACAGATTTGTTTGTATCCAGTGTAGGGGCACAAAATACCATTTTCAGGCAAATACACATCAGGCATCATCTCTCAATCTTTCCACAACCTTTATGTCTTAACCAATGTCAGCCTCTTCTAAGCTCAACATAATCACAAATCAGAACTTCTCTTCCTCAAATATGTGTCCTCTACACTCTCTCAGCACAGATCTTAATTTTCAGTATCTAAGCAACTTTGCTCTCCTGGATCATCTCAGAAGATTTCATACTTACTCTAACACTCTTAAAGATGCCATTGCAGGAAGAATTTTTGCAAGATTTTCTGCTCCAAAATCACAAATGCTATTATTGTACAAGCTGCAAAAAACAAAATCAATATACTCACAACTGAATAACGGAAAATGTAAACTAGTTATATATTAGATCAAGGAATTTCAGATAGGGTTGGTACATCTTAACTTCCAATTTATGCTTATCTATTTGGAGTTAATCTTTAAAATAAGTTCCATATTTTCTATATTAAGTAAGGCACAGAACCACCTCTCTTCTTCAGCTTACACAGCTACAGCAAAAATACATCTAGATTCTGAATGAATGAGAACTTTATTGTCTACACTAAATCAAATTAAAAATTTGCAAGAAGACAAAGCACAAAGATTTGGGGAAGGGCATTAAAAATAAGATTTCCATGTGAACAAGTTATTCCGTAATTGTACACTACAGTTTCTTACTTTTCTCTCTAAGACTCTTCATTCAGTCCTATGCCAGATATTTTAGTGGAGTGGGATGGACCATTGGTCCTGTAGCAGCAAACACACCACCACATTGCTGCCACTGCCCTGTACTCAGCAAGCAGTAGATCTCTTGCAGTAGATCATGGCCCTGTGTAAGCCTTTGTATAGGGCATTATTGATCAGTGGGTATTTTGAATAGGATTTACAAGTCAGTACAGTCTTTGTTACATTCCTGAGATATGCTTCTGTATGTCTACACTGGCTTATATATTTATCTCCCCCCTAAAGACAGATGTCTGGAAATGACTGGAGCGCAAACAAGAGAGAAAGAGAAGTCAAACATGCAGGCCTTCCTTATGAGACATGCCTTACCACTTACAGTGGGACTGGACTTTGTGCAAGAATGAAGTCCAAAGCTTGCCTGTCGCCAAGTGTGTGCATATTTGTTCCATGTTCAGTAATTTTGACAGAAATAGGGAGGTTTGTTGTACAAAATAACTGAACAGGATACAACCACTTACCTAAGGGTCTTCAATGAAGACAAGGAAGGAAGAGCTTTAGCTAGAGTCTCTGCACCCACATCTGTTATCTTATTCTGTGACAAGCTATAGGAAATAAGATGGTTTTGTTAGTTGAGCACATTTATTCTAATGTGGGGAAAATTCATTTTAGGTGTTGTCCTGAACAGCAAATGTGATGCTGCAATATAGTATGATAAAGCCATCTTTGAGCTACCATTAATTTGAGACCTTTCCTCAGTCTAGAATCCAAGATTAGGCTGAATTTCAAGAGACTTAAAAGTAACATTATCCTCTTGCTATATTTGGAGCATTTCTGAAAAATTTAGAGCAGTAACTGGTACCTGCCAGTGGGGGCAGGGGGGGAGAGAAAGAAAGAAAAGAAAAAACAATGGAAAATTTCCCCTTTAATAGACTCCAACATCTAAACTGACACAAGCCCAAAGAGTTCTGTGTGCTAAGCCAGACACAAAGTATCTACATTTAGAAGCCTAGTGACCGCACAGGGCTGCAAAACTGGATGGTTGTCTAGGGCAGCAGGTTGCTAGGGACAGAAGGGGATGGTGGTGGTGGTGGTGGTGGGGGGGGACGGGACAATAGAAAACTGTGTATTCCTACTGAAAAATTCTGGAAACTCATTGCTGCTACTGTACAGGGAGGTCTAGGCTGTGTGAGGTTGTGATTGGGGCAGGTTGCCTGTCCCTCTCCCACTCCCTCAGTACTGTCAGAAGGAGCAATCTGAGCCCTCCTGGAACCTCCACTGCTACTTCGCTCCCTTCCGTCTTCTCCTGCACTTTGTTCTTCTCTTTCCCAAGGGCTTGCTGCCTTGGCCTGGCCCTTGTCCTTTTTGCCTGCATTGCTTGATGTTTTGAGGCAGCTCTGCCTGAAACAGATCCTGAAGTATTTTAAATATTTGATACACACTTTGGCATTTTTAAGTAATTTGCACAGTCTGTTTAGAGCAAATGTAGGAAAAAAGATGAATTACTACCCTTGAAGGGAAATGAGGAATTGTAAATACACAATCCCTAATGCTATTTGATTAACCCATTTCTCCGATGAACATACAGGCTAAATATGCCCATAGACTAAGTGGTCTACCGTGCCCATGGGTTAGTTCTGCCCGTAACTGTTAAGGCACAATCCCTTAGGTTCTAGGATTAATCTATTTCTTCCCAAAATTTTCTAGAACCGTTAACCTTGCAACTTACTTTAATGTTTCCAGCGATGTCAGCTTCGGAAAGATTTCAGATAGACTCTTTGCTCCTTCATCTCCTATGTCATTTTCACTCAGAGCTTCCAAGCTGCGTGACCACAGAGAGGGAATTAGTTCCCTTTCAAAATAAATTTTTGTTTTTTTCACCTCAGACACCACTCTATATCTTGAGAACCTTCCTCTACTCAGTGGCCTCAATCAGCAAGAACCATCTCATAAATTCCAGCTTCTCTAATAAGCAGCTCTCTGCTTCCCAAATTTACATCCTAAGAATTTTTTTCTCTAGTTGAATTGCTTGACCCATTTCCTTTTACATGCAAATGGTAGGTAGCGCTTAATGCCCTACTTCACTATACACTGACAGTTATTAAAATGGTTATGAAATAGCTGTGTTTCAGCTATACTGAAGTAAGATTTCCTGTGCACATAGGAACAAAAATGGATAAAATTCAGCCCATGCTGTAAATCCCTGCTTAATTTGTTCCTTCCCAAGATGCTATTAGAAGTGAAGTTTTTTTTCATTCAGGTACCCTGATGGAAAGAGTTTTATGCAATCTCAGTTAGATGCTTGATGCCTTTCTAATCTCACAGACAACACTGGGACTCATCGGGCTGTTTCCAGTTTTAGAGCTCTACTCTTTTTCCAAAATGCCGTAACTAGGCTACTGTTCAGGTACAATACACATAAATCACCAATGGGCTGAGCCAGTAAGGCTGAATGCCCTCTCAAAACCCAGTAATCTTCCCAGAGATATAATGGCAGGATACCGACTTCTGTTGCTGTGATTCTTTCTAGAGTAAAGAAGCTTAAAATTCAGAGATAGCTGGTTTGACGTGGGTGTGAGAGAATAAACAGTAACTGGAGTTCTTGAAACTGTATTTCTAATATTCCTCCTGGTAAAGGAAGGGACAAAAATAGGGCAAAATGAAACCAGGCACTGAGTGGGTTTTTTGTGTTTTTTTTTGTTTTGTTTTTTAAACAGAGCTCCTATCTTTTATATGAAACAAACCCACAAAACTCAAGCTTTTGCACGTGCTACCAGAAGTTCAAGATGCTTGTTGACCCTGGAGGGTGCACGGCACAGCATAGGTACATGTATGTATCCAAGTTAACCCCATCATTTAACACTGCTCCTGGTTCAGGAGCTAGCCTGTTCTCTCAGGGGACAGATTTTACAGTGAATCTCTCAGAGTCCTTACCATGGGGCAGCCTGTGGCTCAGGTGGGTTATGGAACTTGCATGAAGAAAAAGAAATAAGTGGTCAGTGCCATGGCAGCAAGAGGGAGCACCAAGTGAGGCCACTGCATTAAACCTCTCCCACAAGTTTTAACAGAGGAGAAAGTGATTGAAGGGGTATCAAATGAACCAAGCACCTTAACTGGCATCAGCAACAGACCTGACAAGTCTTAACTGTTAGTCTGTTGTTCTATTCACTGCATAATTTGTTCAGTTTGCTCACCAAAACAGGTAGTCTTTTTTTTTTTTTTTTCAGGTACATGAACTCCCCTATCATCAAGGGCTGCTGAGGAGCAATGTTAGCCTGGTTCATCTTTAGAATTACTCACTCTAAATGCTGAAGCGATGGAAACGCTGCAAGAATTCCCACAAGTTTTAGGAATCCCTGAAGGCCACACACCTGACCCAGCCTAGAAGAAAATAGACACACAGCAGTTGTTTCATGCTCAGAAACAGCAGAAGTTATAAATTTGTTATGCTCTTGCCCTACGACCACTGGCTAGCAGCTGGTAGCTAGTTTACACTCTTCAGTAAGCAGCCATTCCCCACCCCAGCAACCAGTCTGTGAGGGGATGGGACTTCTGCTTTAAAGCCTGCAGAAGAGGACTTGCCCTGCAAGACTAAGGTCAAACAGGGCAGAACTGTTTGCACTGAGAAAGTGCTACATGCATTTGCCACTTTTCTGTTTCTCCTTGAAAGACTATTCTCATTTGTTTTAGATTCCTAGATTTCTGTTCTTTTTCTATTTTCTCACATTTCTCATTTTAAGTATTATAATCTTGATAGCCTCAGATAGGAAAATGGAGCATTTCTGCAAAAAGATTATTTCACAAGTAGTTGGATCATGATCATAATATTTTACATCCCTGTGGGACAAGATCTGCATCTGGTGGAAATGAGCTAAATTTCAGTAAAATCCAAAAAAATTGATAGAATCATGTTGATATGTATCACTGTGGGCGGCAGAAATGACATTTTCAAGTTCTGACCATAAATTAATAATTCTAGTTCAGATTGGCAAAGCATAAATGAATGGGTTTTACTTACTGTTTTTCCTTTAACTAGACTTCAGTAGACTACCTTTATGTGAGTTCAATGATTGTAGCCGATACACATGACTCTTCTCAGCTTTAAATGTAAACATATTAACAGAGAGGCATATCACTTACGCAAATTCTAGTTTTCTGAGGTTTCTGATGGCAGGAATTTCATAGCTGTTCCAACCAGATACATCTTGCACACTAAGTAAATCACAACGGAACCAAGATACAAGAAATATTTTAGAAACCAAAATAGTACTTTATAAAAAAATGTATTAGTAAACTTTTACAAGAAATGAACCACTGCTGCATTAACTACGAAATTTCTAGGAAACTAGGAAACTTAAGAACAACTGCTGCTCCAGCTTTTCTTCACTGGATTGATTCCAGTCCAATAATTGTCCTTCATGGGGCAGGTGTCGGCCCTTTTTTCAATACAACATTTTTGTAAAATAACTGTTTTCCATCAAATAAGAAACTTATTTTGGGTGTATTTGAATCAAAATAATCTGTGTTAATATGGAAGTCACCATTTTGATTAAAAAACATACAAAATACTTTATTTTATGCATATTTTTAATTGTAGCCAATCCCCTAGCCACATCAGCAGCAGGGATGAAATACAGGGCTTGCGGACCATGTAACACAAGCCTTTACCCTCTGAGCTAAAGGACTGACTCAGGTCATTTATGGCCAGTGGAAAAAAAGCTTGTATTTATGGCCTAGGTGCTACAGGGGAAAAATCAGTTAGCATAGGTCATGTAACTGAAAGCCATTCGAAGGTAACATAATCAGAGATTGACAAAAAAAAATCTGAGGAAAAAACTGGCATCTGACTTCTTTGTTGGCAGTTTTGAGAAATATTCTGCATGGGGCTATCGATCCTCCTCCCTGCCATGACTGTCACTCTGCCTCAGAGTAGCAGAACACATGAGATGACAGAAGAACTTGTGTTGCCTCAGTTTACTTCTCCTTTGGACAAACAGAGGACTCCATTCCCCAGGACTGTCACTGAACCCCCATTTTCTTAATTCACTAATATTATGAGGACTTTTGATCATAGATCAGCCTACCAACTGATCATCATCTTCTGCATCTCTACAAGGTCAGAAAGGTCACTGATGTCCTTCATTGTCTTTGCCTTAAAGGGATCAAGAACAAATTTCTCTGTGGACATTCTCAGCAGTTCATACTCTTTTGCCTGTTCTAAAGACTTCCAGAGCCTGATTGTATCTCTGAGGGAAGCCCTGTAAAATAACAAAACATGTGAAATCAGCAGATATAACTGCTGCTGCACGAAAATGTTTTCTACATACAGTCCTATGTCTGATGCTACCATCTACAAAGAATGACTAACCTGAACGATGCCACATTCTTTAGGCCAATCAAGTCTTTTAGCCCTTGCATGTCAATGCTGCTGTTTTGCAAATCCAAGGAAAACTCTTTTCTTGACCTTTTTAAAATAGAGTGCAGCACATGGACATCAGGTGGTGTAAGAACAACACCCAGAAAAGACAGATCTGGCTTGAGTCTTAAGGCCACATGCTGCAAAAGATAATTGTTTTGTGTTTCATAAATACAATGGAAAAGCTCCAGTAACCTCTCTGGACAGAGGTCATTTATCTGCAGCCTTCTAATATACTTCAAGAGTGTTTTCTGCTTTTTGGTTGATTGCTTTACATCCTTGTTTGAAAAGGAGCAGAAGTCGGGGTCATCCTGGAGGAACAGTAATCCAGCCAAAAATCGAGGCACTAAGTCTAACCAGTTATAAGGTTTTTTCTTCTTGGATGGAAAAGACAGGTACTTTGTTAGACTTTTATCCTTGATCTCTTCTGCTAACATAAGATGAAGCGCACCCAAGAAATTCTGAATGGCAAAATTGGAGAATGTGTTCCCAAATTCTTCTTCTCCAGTATCTGAATGTTTGGGGAATGCAAACGGCAGGACGAATCCATATTTCAGAGCAAATTCTTTAACTTCCTTAGAAGGAAAAAGATCACTTTTCATGGCACTTTGGTGCTTTTCTCCAAGATACCAGGCTATACGGGCTAGCCTAGCAAGACTCTCTTGATTTTGCATGGGTGTAAGGTCTCCTTGCAAAGGTGTTAGCTTTTGCTGAACAAATTTCAGGAAGAGGGTAGTGAGAGTTGAAGGAAGGCCTTTGTCACCCATTTCAAGTACTGTCTCACAGAGAAAACAAACAAATCTACACATAACAGGGCTGTAACAATGACTGAACAGGTACTGACAATCTTTGATTAATTTCAGTGCATTATCACAGTAGGGTAATCCTTCAAAATATTTGGTTATGTATAATTCCCTCTGCTGAGGGGAGAATCCTACTATTTCAATAGTCTTATCCACTTTGGACACATACTGGCTCACTTTGTCTTTAGGTCTTGTTGTAAGCAGTAAAGTACAACCATTCAGTATCTTTCTTTGGATGAGGCCTGAAAGTAGCTCCTTTATACTGCACACCTCTTTGTCAGGCTCACTGTCTGAGCAACGAGGAAAATTCTCATTATCATGTAGCCCTTCAAAACCATCAAAAACCAGAAGGACTTTAGCAGGATTTTGTAGTATGTATTCAAAGACCTCATTGCTTCCCTCTTGAGGTTTTACAAAAAACTCAAGAAGCAGATCCTTCAAGCTGTATCGCTTCTCAGGCATGCTTATTTGTTTCCACTCAAACCAAAAGACAAATTCAAAAAGAGAAAACTCTCCATTGGACCAGTCCTGGCAGATCTTCTGAAAAAAAATGCTTTTTCCCAGCACCACAATCACTTTAGTCTCTAATTTTTTACCTCCTGGGATTTGAAATATTTGACTTCTTTCAAGGGCTGCCTTTTCCTTCCCTTGCAGATTACAAGTTACCAGCTCCTTTTCCATTACTTTTACACTATTCTTCCCACTCTTGGTTTCAATTTGGCCTTGAACAAGAGTCCCATCAATAAACAGATGGTCAAGAGTTACTTCACGCTCCATGGCCACAAATTTGCACGTGTCTCGGAAATAATCCATGAGTGATGTACAGAAAGCTTCCACTGGTCCTAGAGAAACAAAAAGCACACACAGTTTGAAGAAATCAGTTCACAGTTTTCAGCATTGCTTCCGAGTGTTTTAAGTACATAACTGTAATACAGTCAAAATACATTAGTTCCCAGAAAGCATGTAGGCCTGGATTCATCCCATCCAACTTGAGGTACTGAAATTAAGAGTGCAAGCACGACAGGCACCTTTACACCTAGGAGCTGAATCACTTTGGAGGTATTTATGTATTTGATATAAACAGCTAAGCACGTTACACTCCTCAGGTAGATAATACAGCCGATGTCTAAAGGTGGACAAGTCTGACATCTTAACGACAGGAATTGTGCTCATGGCACTTGGAACAGCTTCACAAATTGTCATGAAGGACAACATGTAGCTTTTCCATACAGAGAATAAACACAGCAAAATCAGCCATAAATAGTCAAAGTTTTAAGTTCGAGAGATCTAAACTCACTTGGTCTCTTGAAAGGTTCTTCAGAGGGAACGACAGGAACTTGCACTTCTTTGAACACATCTAAGCCTGGAGAAACACAATAATATACTTCAGGAAGATGGTCATTGATTCAGCTTTACTGATTTTAACAATGTGACTAATCTAAATGTTCAAGTTCATTGCAACATAAATCATGTGCTGTCTAGAGAAAGAAATATTTGCCTATTTCACAAGGAAAGGATGGAAAGAAGCTCACAAATAAAAGTACACTTCAGTTGACATGAACTGTTGCAGTCAGTATGACTACAAGATGACAGCTGTTCCAACAGCTGTGTGAAGCAGGAAAACATATCATAAAAACGTGTAATCCACTGTTCTTTTCAAATGTCAGTGTGTCACATAAATTCATGTTCACACATCAGACTTTTATGTCACCAAAAGTAATAGTTCCTTTTGTTATTCTGCACCTTGTAACCAGGTGTTAAGTATAAGAGTCACAAATAAGCGTCATGTAAAACCTTGACCATACTGCTAATATAATTTATCTGTTACTCTTCATTACCAAGTACTGTCATTGTTCAACTTTCTTTCTTTTTGCTTGTTTTCAAACTACTGCAGACCTTTGCACTCGGTCAGATGAGCAGTGTCTGCCACATAGGAACTGAGAATTTTTCCAGAGGAAGTGTATTTTCTACAAACAGACTATTAGTGAGAAAGTATCAGTTTTGACAAAACTTTCAGTAGGAAAGGCTTTGCAAGTCCAGGACAGAATTTAAATTGACAGAGATGTTATAAACCCAACATCACCAATAGCCTGGTGCTTACCACACCCAGCAGAGATGTGCAAAACCAGGTTCATCTCCCAGATCTGCACAATTGTATTTATTATCATAATACTTGTTTCATAGTGATGTAGAATATGGTAAGAAAATTACAAATCATAAAGTTTCAGAGATCTGGAGATCACTTCCTATCCTGTATGCCAACAGCAGACGGAACTGCTAGACTTCTGCGGGTGCTTCCCTGCAGGAAATCACTCTGACTTCTGATAACTAAGTTCTTTTTCACTAAAAGAATATGTTTGAGTTAGTGCTCCACTTTGTAGAAGAAAAATCCACTGGAGGGTTCTAAAGACACAGAAACTGCTTCTAGTTCAGAAAGCCAAGCGGCAGATATTAGCTGAATGCTGAAAGGATTAAGGGGTACTATGCTTGCCCTCCTCTTACTAAACTCCGGGCATTCTTCCTGCCCGTTGTCTGAGACAGAACACTAGGTTAAGTGGACCTTTAGGGTGACCCAGTATGATCATGCACAACTAAGAAAATGGTTAACAACACAGACATTTAATAACAGCAAGAACCTTTTATGTATAGGTTCTGCTAACCTAAATCACAAAGGTCCTAAGGAGTGGAAGGAACGAATCTTTCAAAATGGTACTGCTAAACAGTTATACACGCATAGCTCACCACAGTTCTATAGAGCATTCATAAAATCAGAGTAGCTTCCATGAGTAAATCCTGTTTCCTGGTTTTGCATTTGAGTTGTCACACGGAACATGCACATACATTTTGTTCAAGGAGAACCACCTTGGAAAAGGCAATTCACATAAAGGCACTTGCATTTTAAGAGCAATAGTGAGAATAAGACAGCAAACAAATTCAGTATAAAAGATAATTAAGCTGTTATTAGAAAGACTTGAGTAAGATATTAAATAAAGAGGAGATTTGTATGAGAACCTGAGTGCCTGTTTTTGTTTTATTATTTTATTTTACTAAATAAAACCAAGAGAATGGAAAACGAAGAAAAGCTGTAATGAGGCATTTAAATGCAAAGTGGGCAGTAAGTCAAACCAATCAGGTGTTAATGATTAAAAAAAAAAATAGAAATAGAAAACTGTCTTGCTTGCTAATTTGTGTGCTTATTTTCTACTGGATTTGGAATTGAGCCCAATCTGAGGTTTGTGACACACTCATATATGTAGCGGTGCTGTAGATCAGCTGGAATTATTGTGTACTCACAAAAGCAGTATATACCATTTAAAAATATTTCCCCAAACCTAGGGGTATTTGCCTATTAATCCTCACTTTAAAAATGTACTATTTTGGGTGGTGTTAGCCACCAGGGGGCAATAATATACTTGCACTAAACTGCTGTAATCACCAGGGTACACAGTGATCCAGAACTAAACGTCCACTGCAGTCAAACTCCCTGCTCTAACGGCTCTCTGGGGGTTGGAAGAAAAGTGCCTGAGGAAAGTCTGCTACCACAGGCGGGACTGTTATAGCCTGACCAAGACTCTAATGTGTTTATAAGCCTCTCTGTATATTAGGCTTTTGTATTGTTTACAGTTACTATATTGTTGAAATTACATAGGAAGGAGGTTGTTTTGGTTTCAGGGCTTCCATGCGAGCTGACTACAATCTAGCTCCCAGCACAGAGTGCTGAAGATGCTCAGGCCAAGCCAGTACCAGCACGGCTTCCCATTCAGACGGTGCTCGAACGCACTGGGTTTTTTTAAACTGTTTTAACCGGGTAAGACTTGAGAAACTGGACTCTGTAGCAAACACAGCGGATTGGTTGCTAACGTCTACTGGAACCTGTAGCTCTACAATCTTATCTACCTTATATTTTGGACTAGACTAAGTAGCCAGTGATCAATACAGAGAAGGAAATGCCATTAATTTTTCTTTTCCTGAAGAACGTCAACATGAGTAAAGCCTGGAGGATACAACTGGCTTTGAGAACAAGCAATATGTTCCCTCCTCCATCCAAAGAACTCTATGTACAAGAAGTCATTTTACACTTACCACATAAATTAACTGGAAAACTTGCGGGGATCAATGATTCAGTGGAAGAAGTCAGCACTGGAAATAAACAAATCATAGTTTTCAGGGTACCGCAGCTAGCAGTGACTGTGATGAGGGAACCTAGTAGTTTGTTGACAGCATTAATTTTCCAGTACTTTCTGCCTATTTATGTGAATAAAAGATTATGGTTCTTACCTGGATATATTATAACATTTGATGTGCCATTTTCTATAAGAAAATTAATTATCTGCTGAGGAGGAGCTGCAAAATTTGTATTCTCTTGGCTCCCTTTCACACTGACAGGCAGATACTCTGGAATCAAATGTGTTGAAGACCCTGGAAAGGAGCGTAGAAAAATTACTCTCCTGTTTTTAAAGCCTCCTGACTTCTAAAAGTGGACTACTTACCGTCTCCTGCAGCTTCTGGGCAAATCTGGAGAGTCTGCGAACCACAATTCATGCAGTCATGTAACGGCCACAAAATCCATTAAACAGAACCTCTTAAAAGGCGCAATGAATACAAAATACAAGTGACTACCCAGCTTTTCGTGATCACTGATTGTCGATAGACTAAAGAAAGTCTGTTAACATAAGGCAGAGCACATAGGACAAAGTCTGATGTTCAGAGCACAGATCCAGAAGAGAGAAAACGTATAAGAACTGCATGTTTGAGTGAATTTTGCCATTCATTGTACATCTTTCTCACACAAACTGCACATCACGAGGCTTGTACAAGCAGCTAGCAAGCACCTCTGAACAGACTCACTCCAGGAAATTTTTTGATGATGCAGTGCTTGCAACTCAATCAGCCATAGCCCTGAGCTTCTGCGGCGATGACAGAATTTCTTCTGCTACTTTGTACTGTGTCGGCCAGCATCAGGTACTTCAAGACTTCCAAATTACTCACTGCTTTTTGGTTCATTTCCAGCATGGATTTAGCAGGCAAAGGTGTTGGATTGTCTTTGTCATTATCATTTGCCAATGTACTACGCACACCCTCTGCTACACAACATGATCAAGATAAGGTGGCTACATAACCCATTACTCACTCGGATTAGGACTCCCTTTTTGTGAACAAAATTCCACCACTGGTTTTGTTCTACTACTGCACATACAGTACTAGTACACATCATTGCAAATTTAGTTATCTAGCAGCTGTTTGCAAAACACTGGATGAAAAAACAATTAGAATTAGAACAAATAAAGTTTATTAATGAAAATTTTGCAATATCTTATTCTTAAGCCTAGAACTAATTATTTACATTAGCAGATATTAATTAACTCTGCTCTCTTATTTATTAACCTCTGTGTCACCAATTAAATGAAATGAAAGACTCATTTTATTTCATTAGGGGTAACGCACTTTTAATTTCCCTTGCATATTTTTCATTCTCTTAGGGTATCCCACAATTTTAAGTGCTGGACTGAAAGCGATGTTCTACTTGTTCTCTCTCCATCACTGCTCACGGTCAATGACTGACTGGGCTCATAGGAGGGTTTCCCCTTGTATAAATCAACCTGTGTAAGGGTACACAAGTATAGATGTACTGTACATACCAGGAATTATAAAACTTCTCCCTAATGTATTTACGGTGAGAACAGAAAAAGACATTTGCCAGTGAGTTAGTGAGCTGGAGCTATCTGGATGGCTGCTGAGAGGCGTGACTAAGAAGCTACCATTCCTTGTAGCCACTGCAGGGATGTCCATTTGAAAAAAGCAAAACAAAATGAGGAAGTTATTTTATCATTACTAGAAGCCAAGCAGGCCACAGAAGAGGTCTCAATAGATAGCACAAACCACCTGACTCTGATCAGTTCTGTTTTGATCTTCCAAAAAAAAGAAAAGCGATAATCAGTTTCTGAAACATACTCAGGTATCAATATCTAAAATGTACTTACAAAATTCTACTGTAGTAGAATTTCTTCTCAGTAGTTCACTTTTTTTTTCCATTTTGTTCATTTTTCCTGGCCTATCTTCTTGCTAGGAAGCTGCAGATGTGTTTTGATGTAAATGGTCTTACACATGGATATAACATATAATAAGGTCTTTAATTGGCTGTACTAAGCTTCTCAGACATGGTCTGTTACCTTAATACTGCAAAAGATTAGACAGGCCCAGGTACAGTAAGCTTCCTCAAGATCCTCATCTTGACTCCCTACTTAGATACTACTGTCCTTGTAAGAATAATTAGGCTGTGTTAGGAGCGTTTCTCAAAAAACAGTCACAAACACCTGAGAGACATCTCTGTTACCTGTTTTGAGTTTTTGAACACACAACTTGCCTGCAGTGCTGGGTTCTTCCAAGAGGAGGATCAATGGGGAGAGAGACTCCCCATTTGCATGTATTCACCTGCTTATCAAAATAGTCTGTCAAAAATCAAGATACACTTGTCTGTTTTGAACTAGTCTGCTAGTTTAGTCCTATTTGTCAAACCCTTATTCTCAGAGTTGGTTCTGCTCTTTTTTCCCCTTCCTATCCATGCAGTAACAATTAAGTCTCTATTTAATCAGTTTCTGTGGTCTAACAGTTTACCAAGTGCTGCAAACCTTCATGGTTTTTGTGCCACCACACTGTACACTGTAGACTGGAATGCAAGCTCGTTAGGATGGGGCATTTTTACACTGTTCATCAGGAACCGATGTGCCATTTTCATATTGGAAACTCTTATTGCTACCGTGGTATAAAAACAGGCTTTAAAAAGTGGCAAATCTATATAAGAACGTAAGCAGCTAGAACATAATCCACCTTTAACAGGTACTAACTGCCAGGAACTTTAACTGTATCTGAGTAACTACAATCAGCAGGCACCGGTTCAGTAGCAATCCAAATTCAAAAACTATTTTTTCGCAGTTTGATTCTGCTCAATCCCCTCCCAGAATTCCACATGGACATTGGAAAACCAGCTCGGGTCATGGTCCCAGTGCCTGTGCACTGTCTAGGGCTTTTGTCCAATTCTATGCCAGCCCTTTGCAATTGCGAGGTGTAGGCCTGAATTTTGCAGAGGTGCAGTCCCACGATCCACCACTCTCTAAATGGCTCTCTAGGTTACAAGCTGCATTTTGCTGCCCATCCTGACGCACACAATGCCCAGTGGATACAGTGCAATCAGAGTTCCCCTTAGGAAGCCTACTAGCATACAGTGATGCACGTGCTACTTCAAAAAACATATATTCAGCAAAAGGTGATTCTTTCAAAAGACGGTTTTTCTGGTCTAGCTATCCCTCAGGCTGCTGTTAGTCTGCAGCTGGATAAGAACTTTAGCATCGCTTTACCCCGGAAACAAGTTACAGCCTACCCGCCTGTCACAGATGCCGTCCTATAGGTGGTCCGACAGCGTTCAGCACCAACAAATTTCCCTTTCTTCCAATACTTATTTTGATTTAAAGGATGCATAGCATGGGCTGGGTCAAGGAGACCTCTCCACAGTTATTATTTTCACTATGCTATTTTATTGGATTTTTGGAAGGTATCGCACTTAGGCCATAGTTTGGCACTTGCTAGTTTTGATCCTCTTTTGTTCAGAGTCAATTAATCCACCATAAACAAAGGACGTATATTATACAAATTGGAAAATTTGGCACTGTCCTAGTTCTCCACTAGACTGCTTTCTGCTCTCAGATGGATTTTTAAAAGTTCAGCTGTGCCTCTGCTGATGCTAAATTATTTTTCCTCTCACTCGGCAGGAACTTGTGCTTTTGAAGGACAAGGATCTCAGCTGTTTCCAGGCTACCAAGTCTTCAGTCCAAATATGCACAGTTCAATAGCTACTGAGAAGAGGCCATAGATTTGTTATATCCTCAATTAGACTGAGGTGCATAATAATAAGAATGTGATTCTGCAGTGATTTCTACTCTGCTCAAAGCATTTCAACATGAAAATTCACCATTATGTTATTTCATCAAATCTGTGAGAGCAGACTTTCCCTAGAAGGCAAGGCTACAACACCTAACAGAGGAAGAATGGTTGGAACACAAGACAATATATACTCAATGATCTTTTCCTATTCACCCAATAACTCACCAATTTTCTTGTATTTGGGTTCTGAAACATCAGAGCAACTCTCTGCAGAGCCTAAGAAAGCTGAAAGAAAGAAGGATGATAGTAAGTGATACAAATTGAGCTCAGTTTGGTAATTTTAACTTTCCACTGTAGAAAGTTTCCATTTTTAAAGCATAAGGGGATGCTAGCTGTTTCAGTTCAGCTATTTCAGAACTGTAGAATTCATATGTATTAAAAATGAATATGAATAACCTCACATTTTTTTTACTGTGACTGTGAACTTCTGACAAGTTTGCAGATTTTTGTGACAGTAATCAAAGGTTTTTTGCTGTTGCTATTGTGGCTGTTAAAGAGAATCATCTAGCTAACACTTGCTAAGTTATAAAACAAAGTTAACACTGTGATATGAATGACAAAAAAAGTAGTGAAGAAATATAATATGCTTAGCATCATATAACACAACAACAAATTTTGAAAATTGTAAGATATGCATGGGGGAGGAAACGTAGTCCCTTCCAGCCCACAGAAGATGAGCAAAGTCACTGCCGATTTAAATGTGCAGGACTATTTTAGAGACAGAGGAAGCACAGCTGCTTATATCAGTGAAGAACTACATGAAGGATACACTAGGACTGCTTTAAAAACAAAAGAACTTAGTGCACATTTAGAATCCAAACACCACAGTCTTTCAAGTTACTCATGGTTTTTTACTCACTTCGTTTGTGACATTTCTGCATCTTCACATCAGTAAATTTCTCAGTGTTTTCAGCAGCCATTTCATCCAAAATAAGGTTCCCTGCTAAAAAGCATTAAATATTGCCAAATATCAACCATTATTCTCCTAGAAAAGTTACAGGCAGAGGCAAAAGCAAGAGACACACACTCACAGGCAGCAATGGCGAAATATACTTTAAATGAAAGATGGAAAACTGAAAACATACTCTAAAACAGGTATCAAAATCTATATGACTCAGCCCACAGAACCCTGACAGCAGACTCTGTCACCTAAAATGTAAGTACTTCTCAATACTCTAACCATGAGCAAAGAGGGTAAAACATCCCAGCTTTTGGACTGCATCTTCGGAGAATCAGAGAGCTTGTATGATCTCAGTACTAGTAGAGTTACTCAATTATTTTATATATGAAAAGGATTAGTTCCTTTAAGGTGCAGAGTAAAAGATTCTAAACAGATCTTATCATCGGAGTATTTTGTGTTGTAAGAACTGCTTAAGTTATCCATATCATCCATATCATTCTTCTACTGGCAAATGCCTAAGTGCTACTACTGTACAATGTTTCCTCTAAACCCAACGGGAATTTTGCCATTAGGTGCAAAAAAACAAAACTCTGAATACACCGGGGAGCATTGAAAAGCATCAAAAAAAGACACGGAACCTTTATCCAGAATTAATTGTCTTAGTTAAGGAATGAACCTTGGTCAGTCATTCCAAGCTATTTTTCCTAGGCATGAAATAGGATACACAGAAATTCCATGAATCTTTCCCAATCTATGAATTTCACAGCAGCCACACATTCATATATATTCTGAAATAATAAACAGCTGCTTACATATCAATATAAAAACAATGATTTTGTATAAAGCAAATCAATGGACTGCAATGAAGAAATCATTCACTATGTGTACCATTGCTGCACTGGTCAGGGAGTGAAGTAAAATCTGACAGGCTTCCTCCGGCAGCTCTGTGCATCCTGGAGAGAAATAACTGTGCATGAACTAGTTTAGGTGCATGCTGAGTCCTCTGAATGGGTCGACCTTAATGAACACATGCACATCACCTGTGTCACATACTTGGAAAAAGTCTGATGCTACTTGAGGACATAGAGTGCACTAGACAGTTGAGCTGCGCAGACACTGTGGCCATGGTGAGGTGATCAGCAACTTGGTCAGAGACACAACTGCCACCTCTGAGTGAGAAAAGTCTGCAAAAATACAGAAATCCTCAGCATTTGCCAGGACACAGTTCCCCAGTGGAAAAAGAGGATACCAGATGTATAGAAACCTCAACTAGCATTCAAATTGTGGGGATGAAGTACAGTGCATGTGTTAGCCAGATCACTGTCATGGAGAAAACTAATCTTTGCCACATAAATCTTACCAAAAGTGTCTTCCATCTGCTTCTCCTGCTGATCTTTGAGCACATATTCTGCTAATTCAGCTATCAAGAACAAAAAAAAGAACCCAGTAACTGCAGAGTAAATTGCACAGTAGAAACTATTGTAAGTTTACTCTCATTAACAGAATTCTGCAGTCTCAGTAAAATTGAGGAGTAAAATAATAATTTTTTCTTGCAAAACCTGTAATTGTTGTTCAGGAAATCAGAACACTAGAAAGGAGAAGTTAAGATAGGAAGTGGTAAGTAGAAAGGGCTGTTAATAGAAAGACCACAAACTGTTGGTCATCCGTTTTCCCACAATGAGATGCACAGGTTTGGGTAGCATGGCCAGATCTAATATCCATGAGCGCCACACTGCTTTTGAGCATATGCTATCGCTTTAGAGTGAAAATAGAATTTGTAAGAAGTAAGCAGAAAATAATGATCTTGTTAAGATGCCAATACCTTTTAAAAAAAAAACCTAAAAAATCCAAAAAATAGCTTTCATACCTATTCTAGCATAAGCTTCTCTGGTGTTGGAACACAGATACAATTCATCCCCATTTTCATCATTTTCCATTGTACAAAAGAAATCCATGTTATTGAACTGATCATAGTTGCTGGTATCCATTTCAGGATCTAGAATTAAGAAGGAGTGAAAATTGGCTCAATGAATACCATAGCCAAGGAAACGAAAAACAGAAAGCAGGACATCCTGAAAAGGCAGAACTATTACTTTAACGTAAGGCTTTGGCTCTGCATTGCATGTTGGCTAGTTAGGAACTGAACCGAATTCATGGTAATTCATAGTTATCCAGAAATCAACACTTACCTTTTGCTAGGCTCTGAGGCTTCATGACTCCTAGTAAACTAAACAGTTCCAGAACCTGTTCTCTGACCCTGATGCCTACTGGCACGGTTTGGACCCATCCATACTACTAAACCTTTCTGCCCTCCAGAATATGGTGCTAGCATCCAAACTCCTTGCTGGGTATGGTGCTGGGTCTGTGCTAATCTCTGAACTGTGCCTAGGAATTGCCTGGGAAATTGCTAGTCAACAACCAAGGCCAAAAGTATGCCAGGGACCATGTTAACAGTTTATCAGCACAGATGTCAAAGTTCCAGTGACGGGCCATGCCCTGACTGGTTCATTTACCTATGTCTTCTCACACACTGCTAAGTCTCAAAAGTATTCACGTAAGTGAAATATCTCTGATCTAGTAAGAACTAGTCCTTGATCCCTAATTCATCCTACCTTCAGTCACCAAGCAAGTAAGGCCATGGCAGTGCAGAAGGCACATTTCTGCAGACACTAGTAACAGAAATCAGAAGAGCAAAGCTTAAACGGGGAAGTAATGAATCACAAAGATGATTCCAGATTCTGGAGCTCAGGTTTCCACTGATTTGCTCATGTAGTTGTTGACATCAGTCACTCATGAAACCAATGAGAACGTAAAATGGTATCATTCTGATTTGGTAACGTTTTACGCCTATCTGGCACAGAGCTATAGGACTTCTTATCTGTCATACATCAACTTCTGTTCTTCTCCTGTCATTGCCACCTTCAACCTACAGTCCAGCTAATTTGTTTAAAATAAGCTCAGATATTGTTCCACAACGCAGTCAGCAGCACAGATACGCCTGCGTACTTTCATGCTGGCCTTCCCTCTCCCCAGAAAAGCCAGGGAAGGGCAGAAATTTCACGTAACTAACAATTACCTACTACGGGATATCTGTTCCTGCAAGTTAACCTCCACGCTTGCACATAGATTCAGGAATAGAAAGTTTGAGGGCTAGGGTCAACCTCCTCCCTTGCTTAGTTGTAGGAACTGATACGTACAGAAGTACCACCTTTTCACTCCACCCTTCTGCTTTTTCTTCCGGTGTAGAACTATGAAATCATTGATTTGTGTCCCCAAAAGCTGTAAAATAGCACTTGCTAATGCAAGTCCGTTGTGTTGGTGCCTTAGGATCTCAGAAGGAAACAAAATGCTAGTTTGCTTGCAGCTGTTCAGCTTCATCATAAGCTCATCTAGTAGTCCCTGTTTTGCAAAGCTTTTGGCTTGAAACTACAGAAGTGTTGAAAGTTATGCTTGAGCAGCCTAGGATAGGAACATCTGCAAGTAAGCTACTTACAGGAATGACATGTGAACCAAAGACACTACACATCACCTCACATCTTAATAGGTAATACGTGCAGTATGTTTCATTACACCTGCGGAGCAGAAAGCTGTAAATATGTACTCAGTTTTAAACACATGATGGCACCTGGAACTAGTCACTCTTCTATATCTAGATAGACACAGACAAAGTTATTGCATCATAACAGCAAGTATCCATTGAGTTTAGTTTAGCCACCACAATAAATAGCCACTAGATGGCTACTTCATCAAGAGGAGATCGTAATGACTTCCAGAATGATGGCTAAACAGATCAAGCAGCTTTTAGAGTATAACTAACCTGCTGAGAAGTCACTTTCTTCATTTCCAGATGACGTAGGGTCAAAGAGAGTATACAGATGCAATGGATCAATATCACTGTGCAGCAAATCAAGATAGCCATTTTCAGACACAAATGCTGAATCCATGATTTCTCTCTTGCTGTCTGAAATCACATCACAAAACAATGAACAGGACAACAGAACATGTTGTTTATGAGTTATGGCAAAATCACAAGCTTTTGTCAGCCAAAATGTCCACAAGTTAGGCACTGTGGCTTTCTGTTGACTACAAGGCATGGAGGTCTTAAGACTATGGAACTGGTATTGCTTAATAAGTCCTGAGTTGAGTTATAACCCTGAGTTACTTAAACGTATGAAGCCAGGTGCAGCTTGCGGTGAGAATTGTCTAAGTTCACCAACAGCAAGAATCTATTTTTCACTCCAGCCAGAGGAAGGGGATACTACACTGACCATCTGAGACAAAAGTATCTGTAAATTTACTCCTGTAAATTCATCAGGATACAAAAGGTATCCTGCAAGCACAAATCCAAAAAGGCATTGGGAATGAGAAGACAGCAGTGAAATGGATGGAAGAGGAATCCCATACGGTTCTGCCATGACAATTTCTTCTCTGGAGAAGCACCTTCAGGTTGGGATGGCACATCCCAAATTCCTGAGCCCTGGAGATAGCATTAGGAGACATTCCCTCAGCACAAGAAAGAGCAGTGAAAGGTAGAACACTTATTCTGTACAATTCTTCCCCAAATCGTAAGGCTGAATGTGTACAGAATGGCAAGGTCACCTTGGGACTTGTGGCGACAGGCCACTCACTAACATAGTGGAATCTACCCACTGTTATTTTTTAATCCCTTTTCTTTCCAGAGTTAACAATACCTGTTTGCACTAGACAAAAAGCCATTCACACTACACAGCCCTTAAAAACTAGTACAGGTGCAGAGTGAATGCCTTTTCAGCAGAGTGCCACACAGACTGCAGACGAGTCTCCTTGGTCCAGTGAGCCATGTTTATATGGACTGAGAACTGGTTAGACTGCTGCAGCTGTTTATCTCTTCCTCCACAGTATTTTAAATCCCTTCTCTTTCCTTCCAGTTACTCCAGCAGGCACCAGAATAAGCTCACACATTCTGCCCCAATACTCCACGTCATGGAATAAAACAAATATCGGCTTCTCAGTGTTCACAGACCACTGATATGGATGTATCACTGGGCCGATCAAAGTCATTTACCCAACCATAATGTTCAGATGCCGGCATGAAATGAAAAAGTGGTAATTTTTCCAGTCCACATCCTGTTGAAATAGCTGGCCACATATCACAACCAGGAAAAGTTTCAGCTTGGCAAAAATGTGTTTTGCAATGAAGGATAGCTATAATATGACTCTCAAATATTCTGCCGTTAGTAGAATGCCTCTGTTGTCCCTGGTTGCGCGTGTCTATTTTCCCAAGGTGCACAAATGTGGAGCAACCTGCTGTGCCATCAAGTTTGCCTGTAACCTGAAGAAAAACAGCTATCATTGCAACTCTGATCAAAGGAGGAAGGCAAACCTACTGTCACCACCACATGCTACTTTGTTACGAACTAATCCTCATTCCTCTCACAGCCCTCTACACAATTGTCCCTTTAGCAGCGTGGAAGCAGACCCTCTCTCTGTGTTCTGCAGCAAAAGACGCCAGAGTCCAGAGCCAGAACCGAAGCGCTGGTGTACACAGCGAGGCCCTACGCGTACAGGTAGTGTAGTTCTCCTTTTTCATGTTGTGTGGCCTCATTACATTATCAGCAGCACAAAAATTTGAGATTTTTGCCTGCTCTGCTATAAATGGAAAGTACAAGTTGACTAGCTGTTGACTTTCATGAGAACCAAGAATGAGATTATAAACATACCGGATTAAACTTTCACTTTGTTGCAATGTTTTGTCTGTCACATCCCTTGCTGAATTAACATAAAAATCTAAACACAGTTGGGCCTTTCAGAATATCAAGTTTCCAGACTTTGTCAATAATGCTGTTGAAGCATTACCTCTGATTCAGTACGTTCCTTGGATTGGGACAGTGAAGGAAGTGGGCAGAAGTCCTAAAGGCAATGAAAGGTAGATAAATGCATCACTCCTTGCAAGCTCAGGGATCAGTAAACCGCTTGAGGACAACAGACCAAGAAATGGACAGGTCCTATGAAAGAAACTAAAACTGGCCTATTTAGTCTTCATGGAAATACTAAGTTATAGTTAAGTCAGAGTCATAAGAGTTTTTGTTATTTTAAACTTTTCTTTGAATGTATAAACAAACGATTCAAAGTGTTCTGAGTTAGCACAGTGCAGAAAAGACAGGAAGCAGCCAAGAGGAAGTCTGGCTGCTGCATGCCCAACTAGAATAGTGAAAAATAGAAAGTAAAACAAATTCACTAGCAGTTTTGCTCAGTGCAAAACAATGTTTTGTCCAGGATTACAATCCAGGAAACAAGTACGAGAGAAATGCTGCCTTCTACCTTACGAAGAACGAAGATTGCCACTCCTTCAAGAATAAAAAACCTGATCATCAGTCTTTTTTGCTTCACCAGTCTGAATGGCCCTCAACTCACCCTCTTTCTCCTTCATTACGTTGGCCTTGACACAGCTCTGCAGATAGCTGCCTTGCTACTAACTGCACTGGGTTTCAGATGCTGTGATTTCTTTCTTTAGCAGAACCAAGAAATCCTTAACAGCAGCTGTGCTTTGCTGCATTAAATGACAGTGCCACTGCGGAAAGCACGCTGTCCAGGGGTGCAGGGAAAAAGAAGAGAGTTTTGGAAAGGAAAAAGGTTCTACGTCCAGAAAGCACCAGAGGCAAACAGAATGACATTTCGGGGTACTGTGTTTTGCTGTGTTTTAACTGAAGTACACAATAAAGCCCAATGTTTCCATACCTGTTTACAACAGCAATTGCTTTCCCAGGGTTCCCCCTTTCTTCTCACAGCACCCTGCCCAACGCAGCGGCCCACCGTCTGAGACCACGGATGGTATGCTCTGTACTGCTCAAGGAGCACCCTGCTCCTTGGTGTTTCATACATGATTTTAACTTAGTTTACTGATGACACAGTCCTTTTGGGGTCCCCAACAGTCCTCTCAGATGGCGGTTAGGCACGTTTTCACCTCAGAGGACTAAAAAGTTATACAATAATTTCTATATTAGGGCTGTGAATTCTAGAGCCTGATCTCAGGGGGAACATCAAGGACTCCTCTGGGACTCCAGTTACCTCAGCTGCAGTAGGCCTGCATGCACACTAAAATTAACGCGTTGTAGGGGTGGGGGAGACAGCAGGATGGCCTTCCAAATATATTTCCATATCCTTCAGAAAGTTCAATTCTTTGTTTTTTGGACACTAGCTAAGGCAGATCTTTTCATTAAATCTTTAAGTAACACCTCCTTTCCTCATCACTCTTTACTCCAGCTTCATTGCTACATTCATTAGACCTGTGTTCCCTCTGTATTACCCCATGAGAGCTCAGTGCACGCCTGCTACAGCAAGACTTAGGCTCAGGAAGCACTTGTTTTAGTCCTGTATTCTGCATATACAGCACAACAACATGATTCACCAGCAAGGCTCTCAGTGTTTTGCTCAGTGCTCTTTTAGAGTTCAAGCAAAACAGTATGAATTAAAAACACTGGAAAAGTAGTTAAGGAAATACTGAACATCATATCAAGACAGAGAATCCAGTTAAAGAAACAGTAGATGTTCACTTAAATCACATACAAGTTTTAGGAGTTGAGCATTTTATATTTTTAAAGATAAGAGGGATAGTTATGATTATTGTTTGGCCCCAATAATTTACTCATGTCTTACATTTTAAAAGATCAACATGTCAAAGACACTGAGTAATGCAATTTGCTAGTAACTAAAATCAAGTGGTAGGTAAGATAAAGGAGAAGATTTATACGAAGACAATAATGCAAGGTTTTCGCCAGAAATAAGGTAGATGTTTCTGAGACGATGTTTTAGGGGGTTTCCTTCCCCAAACTCTGTTGACATCTGAACTGATAGGTGATAAAATGACCTCCCACATAAGTATGGAGGCTAAGAAAATGAAAAAGTGAAGTCATTTCAGGAACAGAGGAAACCCCCTGCAACTTAATTCTCACATCAGTTTAGGAAGCCGTGGATAATTCACAGCAAACAACTAGCAGTGCCGTGCTAATCACACATTTCTGAACTGGAGAATGACATAACATTATTGCTCTGTACAGCTCCGTGTCTTTAGATTACAGAAAGACAAGAGAATGGGACTGCCATCAAGACAGAAGGTTAAAAATCACAAACACAAGAGATTGCTGAAGAAATGCTATTCTTGAAACACTCAGGACCCACAAGTGCTACACTTGAGATTAATCAGTGAAGCAAGCTGTAAAAAAAACAGGTCATATGAAACTAAAATATGGAGTCCAATGAAACATTTGGACTAATATCCTCTTCCCCAATGGTACTTTGAATTAAATGCTATCATGCCACCAGCCATGACTTTCAAGACTTTTTTTTTTTTTTTTAACAACTTTCTCTTTATCTTCTCTCTTCTTATCCCCCCATCCCCAGGTTATGTGTCATTGTCCACAGCCCACAATAAATATACCAGAAGACAGGGCAGTGTTTCCTGGGTTTTTTTGCCCCTCACACTTGTTTCGGAGTAAAGCTATTATATCCTGATGTTGTCAGGGATGTGGATGGGCTGGTAACGAGGAGGAAGGAAGTGCACACCATGATATAATTACCTCTCTTTCCTCTCCCCCAAACCCTAACACTCCTTCTGCTCAATAGCTACCAACCAGCTTTTCCTTTCAGAAACGGCCTTATTATTCTTAAACTCTAAATGGTGCTCGATTTATATTTAGCTTTGAAAGTTGCAGTTTCTCTTTCACATGCAGAAAAGGTTTATACATCTGAAATCCTATTTCCAGTTATACTACCCGATTTTATTCTACTTCTAGCTACAAATCTTATCTTGCTTGTGCAATTGCGTGCTACCTCCCATGGGCTTTTATAGTCTAAAAAAGAAGAATAGATGACATAGCAAACAAACCTGCTCTATATCGTGCCATACTCTCCTTTAGATGTGTTTAAATAAGTTAGAGAAGCAAAGTATAAATATCAACCAGAATTAGCTTTCTTCTGCTTTTTAATGAACATAGCTGCATGATGATTAGCACAACAGATTAAAGAAGTGTAACTTAAAGTCAGTTGAGTTCAGGCAGCTTAATAACATATTACCCTGTAGGTGTCAGTGTTGTGAAAGCATTTGAGAGCACAACCCACATTCTTATATTCAGTATCACCTCTTGTGTCACAACTGTGCCATGCTCTCCCATTCTAGAAATAGGATGAAACACACTGGCACTGCAGACACGCAGACACCTTGCCAATAAGCTTTTTAGCAGAAAACTACACCTGCGTTCAGAGACTTGCTTTGAGACAGAACCTCAAAGAGGAAATAAAATTCTAGGATTTCTTGCCAGAGCTGAGAAAATAACTGGAAATAAGCCAGTTTCTTCAAATGCTCCTCATGGTTTCACTTTCCACAGAATCAATACTTGTGCAAAAAACAAGTTATACTCCTCACAAAACCAAAAATGAACTACAGCAAGCTTTCTACCATGTAACATGACTCACCACAAAGCAAAAACACTATAAATTCTCCAAAATTTTACCAACTCAAGTGTAGACTTCATCTTACTTTCAAGCAGTACCAGTCTGGGTACTGATACACCGTACTACCTACCAGAAAAGGTAGGATAAGAAGAATTTATCATGACAAAAGCACAGCGTTGAAAAGTTGAGGAAAAACTGACCCGGAGATACTGGACAGTTCCTGTTCTTCCCCTCTGGATTCTGTCCCAGGTGGTCAGCAGAGCTGCTACCACTGCCCAGCGGTTATAGAAACTGACAACAGAAAGGAGGAAATAATCCAGGGCAGCCGCCGCAGAAAAGCTAAAGACTCAGGGGAATTCCAAAGAGGAAAATCAAGAGAAAGCTCACTTTTAGCAATATATAAGCGCTCTTACCTTTATCAGCCATTTGTCACCGGTAGGAAAAGCTTGCAACTTGTCACTAGTTTGGAACTGATCGGTTTACTTAGCTGGAAACTGAAATTGGATGGGAGCAGCTGTAACAATTCTTGCTGCTCCCCAAAACTCTTTCTTTCCTTTAAAAATTCCTGTGAATTGCAGTTCAAATCTGTCCCCAGGTCACAGGGTTAAGTAGTGCATCAGTAAGAATAAAGCAAGCAGCACACAACTACTCTTATCCTGCAGCTCCGTTTGCTCTAACAGAAGTGAAAGTATTTTTTCACATGTTCAGGAACCCTACCAATCCAAAATTAGTTCAGTATCTTATGCAAGTATGTTTTGTCATTGCCCCAAAATGACAAGCACTGGGTTCGATGAAATAGGAACTTGTAAATCTTGTCTGACTTACACCTGGTGTTCAGTGTTTGCATGTACCAACAACCTAACATACCACATTTGTTCATTTAATGAATCTCAGACTGAATCATAGATTTTCCTTTATCCTGCCAGTGCCTAACTGGCGTAAGAAAGAGATCTGTTTCAAAATCAGTTAAATTAATGGTTTCTGGTCAGCTGGTTGGCAATAACTGGCTTCTGTACAAGGCTGTGGCTCCCACTGAGATCCTGTAAGCAAAGTAGCTGCTGTCCCGCATAAGGCTTTTCTCTTTAGATAGGGTATCTACTTCCCCCGGGTTCCCTGAGAACATGCTCACCATGAAGAGATAAAGCTGTTTCCTTCCTGGGGGCTGCTGGCCAGCTCCCAGTATTTATAGAGATATGGGGTCCAGCCTGAGGTTTACAGCACTAGCCATCTCTCTTTGGGCTCTCCAACCAGGCAGGCAGCTGTGTTCTTGGAATTTTCTCCTGTGTGACCATCACGAGGCACTTGATACAGCAGGAACTTTTGGCTGCTTTCAGTTTCAGGGTGCCTCCCATCAGTTCCAACTCTAGCTCATTTTCATTTTTTTTTCTTTTACGTAGTCTCATGAGCTGCAGATACCCTGGAATAAGTCAGGGCCTCTGCCTGGTATCTAGAGGATCAGCCACTCTTAGTCAGGTCAAATCTTTCCAGGGTCTCACAGCATTACTGTTTTACACGTCTCCTCCAATGCACATTAGAGGAAAAGCAACATCTCAGTACAATAGCAGTCAGAGCAGAAACTGCTGAAAGGCCTTCAAGCACAAACATAAATTCTGTATTCTGCGTATTTGGACAGGAGACCGTAACGCAGTCATTGCAAGGGCAACTCCTACAAAAGTTAAGGGAGTTACTGTTAGCCCCATTCTAATGGGCAGCACAGCCCCACAAGTTTACCAGCCTTGCAACCAGATTTCTTTATTAGCTTCTGAACCTGTAATGCCATGAGATGATCTTCATATTTCAGGAATGAAAGTCTAGGGAACAAAAAAGTTCAGTTGTTTACTGTAGTCTGAAACTATAGTGGACAGCGGCTTTCCACATTTGGCACAACACTCATACCTTCTCAGAAACAGCAGAAAGGCATTGCTGTAGCTAATCACATTAATGGTTCATCTAGTGAATTGGAGTATGGAGATGGTCTTAGAGACACAGTGAAAAATAGACTGGGGAACAGGAGGCTGCGAGAAATCTGAGAACTGTCTAAGCTCCTCGGGTGACCACCAGCTTCTGTGCTTCAACTTTTGCTGATTCAGAGTTGAAGATATGCTACCCTATTGCTGAAAGAAGATCAGAATTATCAATTAGTACTGGAAGCTCTGTAAAACTGAGGCCAGTAGTGCACTCTGCAAGAGGCACTTGCCAAGTGGGGAAAGCTGGCACGTTTTTGTCCAGGGAGTTTACATATCTGTATTGTCATTAAAAAAATAGCAGCAAAACTATGAAGTAGATGGGGAGAAACCTGCTGATATCAGCCTGCACCCCTCCTGCATTGTCTTTGCAAGACTTCTTCAGAGTGCAACAATCATGGGATGCAAGGCTGAAATTCAACAAATTTGACAACAAAGCTAGAAAATAACTTGCTTCAAAGGAAGTTGAAATCTCTAATACAGTTTTGAGTCATTTCCTGATGAATTAATGTCTTCCAAACCACTTCTTTAAGCATGTCTTTACTATAAAGCCTAGGGAATAGCGGAAATAGTTGATGGAGGAAAACTAATGGTTCTTCAGATTTGCTTCAACTTCCTTCTGTTATGTTTTAAATAAATGCAAGCTTTATGGCAGAGACATGCGGTATGACAGGATCAAGATCTCTGAGATTTTAGGTGCTACCACTACAAAAATGGCAAGGAGGGGAAATCTTTTCAAGCACTTCAGGGATATAATTAAAAATAGAAAACAAACTATATCTATCCCCAGCATAAATAATACTAGGATACCTGCTAAGATATTCTACCTTTAAAATATGAATTCTTGGCATTAAATTTTAATTTGTGCAATAACTCTAAAATCTTCCAGCTGAGTATTTCTTTTCCCTCATGAACTATCTTTAAGATTTTTTCCTAACGTTCCCTTTTGTACTTTCAGTCATGCCTTGAGAAGTGATGCTGAATATTGTATTTTATGAGAAGAAAAAAGTCTATCCCCCATACACTGTCACCCAAGGTACTTCCATATGTTTTACTACCTCAGTATTCTGTTAAATATTCTTTTATTCTCTTTTCACAGTTTCTTATAGTAGCTTGGTTTTGTAAAAGTAATTCTGAATGCTACAATTTAAGCTGCGGTTCTGCAGCTTTACAAGGGAGGGACCAGGTTAGGAAGTCCCAGAGCTATCCTGTTCCCAGTCATATACAATACCAATTCTTCGGTGGGTCAGACTTAAGTCAAGCGAGTTTATTGCCTCAGAATCACTAGGGGTCTACATTTTCTCTTGTGCTGCCCGCTAAGAAAGTCAAAACTCTTGAATCCAGGCTTTTAAGTCATTAAATATTTTCCACCCTTAAATCTGAAGCAGTCTCCCATAAACCCTGCAGCATTTGCCTTTACAGACATCTGGAACTTAGAGTGGAGAACACTCCTCCTATCTGTGCCTGCAAAAGACAGACATGAGTTGCCAGGACGTGCCATGAACAAGCGCTGCCCAGACTATCAATGGCTGACATGTCAGTGAAGAACAACTGATTGTATCACGGTCTCCTTACTCTGCTTTGCATTTCTGGTTCTTCAGAAGGTTGCAAACAATAGTCTTATTATGGCCTCGCTATGAAAATGGATATCCGGTAGCTATTCTGTATGGGTGGATCTGTTTTTAGTTTCTGTTGCACCACAATCTGCACTCTTCTCTTCCCAATGTGCCCTCCACTGATGCACTTTGCACTATGCCATGACACTATCTCAGAATGCCATAAACAAAAGTAAATGTTTAACAATGCAAAAAAGAGAAAGAAAGTAGATTTACCAGAAATGCACTTGCTTCCTGTTGGCTCATTGTCTGTGATGTTTTGAGGCTTATTGCCACACAGTTTTAAACAACAGAGGGGAACCAAAGTGTTCAAATACAGGTCCCATTTTTCCACAAATGTCAGAGATATCTTCCTTGCAAGGTCCTCTCTGTCTTTTTCATGGAGCAAGCTTTGATGGTACTCCTTGGATATCACATCTTCTTTCAGCATGAGGTTAAGCAATGCATGGTCATCAGAAGCTGTAGCGCTTGAGAGAATATTCCTTACTCTAGGCAGGATCTCCTTAAAAAGATTCATACCTGCAGCTGAAGACGTTTGAAGGAGGTCTGAGCAAAATCTGAACTGCTTCAATTAAAAAAAATCCACTCAGTCAGCATCAAAAAGATGAAGTGAAAAAAAAAGTTGAGACTTTGTCTTGCAATAGCAGAGGTGTTTCCTCATTTGATTAAGACTTTAAATAATGTTTCCAACAACAAATAACTTCTTGATGAAATGACGCAACAGCACAATCCTTCCAACCATTCCTAAAAGACAATTTTCCAATCAACAACAGTCACCTGAAAAAATAATTCAAAAAACATTTGCCCCATTCAAGAAAGACTGCTATAACTAGATCTTGGTCTTCCAGTAGAGATGGAGCGTGGTGAGCCCATCAGTGGGCCCAACAAGGTCATTGCTCAACCAAAACAATTCCAAAAGCTTCAGCACAAAACAGTATTGCACATGCTCTGCAAGAGGGACAGGTTTAAAACTTGAAGACTCCCACATACAGTTAGAGATTAAGTCGTGAGTAAATTCTGCTTTCAGGAAGTCAAATGGATTAGAAAAAGGGTGAAAACTCTGGGCTAAAAAATGATCCCCAGTCTGGCTCTGGTTTCTGCCACATTTGAAGACACTAGAAAGAAGGGGAAAAAAAAAAAAAAGGAAAGAAGTTGGGCATGACTTCCAGCTACTCTTATTCAAAGTCAACATACTTACATTCCAAGGCGGAGATATTTTAAGTAAAATTACTTAAACAGAAGATTTTTCAAGGCTCCAGTTCAAAAGAGTAGCAAATCTTCCATAAGACTAAGCACCCCTGCCTATATAGCTCCAAATCTACTACAACCTGAGCCCTCAATTCAGCTTAAAACTAATAAGAAGTCTTTTTTAATACTACCTTCTTGACTCATTTCTTGCTCTTATTTTGTAGAGCTTATTTTGTATGCAACATCTGACTACGACATTTCAAAGACTTCTAAATGCAATCAATAAAGTCTTACCTTTGTCTGAAGAGATTTTCCAATAGATGCTTCATCTAACAGGTGAAGTAAAGAATGGGTGCCTTCAGTCCAGATTACTTTAAAAGGAAAAAAGTTTTCAATAAGAACAGAGTACAAGGAATACAGTATACGATCTTGATCAGATGTCATCTGTCTATAAGCATAGATTTTTTTCGTATTAAGAGTGCAAAAATGACTGATAAGTCTTGTATATTGTGACTGTAGAATAAATCTGCAAAGCCTGTATCAAAGGGAAAATATAATTAATTGCTAGAATATCTTTAATGTGTTTAACACAAGCACCTCTGAGCTAAATACGAACATCCATCCTGTAGTAAGTAAAAATATGATAATATATTTCACAATGGGTTACCTAAATTCTATTTACATGTTGCTCATTTATAGTAGCTACATCTATTAACAACAATTTGTTACAGGTGCAAAGGAAACTATCAATTTTGTTGAGCTATGAAAAATACTGTAATTGAAACTAATTTTCTCATTTATATAACATTTTGTAGGGTAATACATGTTTTACATTTCCAGCTCTTTGATCGTGAAAATACCTTTTATCAGGCCCAAATATACAAGAGCCAATACCTAAAATTAAACCGATAGATGCCATCCGATGTTTCTCAGTGCTGGCTTATTTTTCCTTATGTCTATTTAAAACTTTCTAAATATTGACCTTTATGAAGTTTTGCAGTGGTTTGTGCATAGGTATTGTTTAAATTTGAGGAGGACAGAGTTTAAAGTAGTTCAATGTTTTAGAATAGAAGTGACAATGTTATAAAGATGGCAGTGATAATGGCAGTAAATAAACAACTCCTAACTACTTGCAATTCAGTTTACACTACCATTTTTTCTACTTCACTGTTAGAAACCTGATCCTTATAGCAGAACCTATATTCTTGAAATAAATACTGGGGCAAAATTCCTAGGCTGTCTGGGGGCTAATGGATAAAATCTTTTTGAATGGTCTGCTACACAGCTGCCTAAACAAGCCTGTAGGCTGAGTATAGGATAAGGTTCCAAATCTCATCTAATATTTCTCTGTGGATTTGTTACTGGGTTTTACTACCTTGAGTATTGCCATGACTTCTATTCAGCATAGGAAGCACTTGCAAATAGAACAGTAATTCCACCTAGTTAGAAACAATGTATTGGGAGAAACTTGGTAAAGCTTCATGAACGTTTTGAGTTTTGAGAATTGCAAATTTTGGTTAAGCTCTAAAATACTTTCGTAGAGGAACAAGGTTTTGCTGCTTTTTCTGAATGTTCATGTTTATGTTCAGTATTGGAAAATACATGCAAAACAGAGGAAAAAATAAGCAATTGACAGCTGATTATCTAATGGCATCATTTGGACCTGCAGTGTGGGTAGGTAACAGGTTTTAATGTAACTATATAACTGGCAACAGATTATTTTACTTGTGCTTAGGGAAAAGTAAATCCCTTAGCGCTTTCATTCATTGTCTCATTTTTCTCAGAATTTTTCTTTTTAATGTAATTTCCTTTAAAGCTACTGGCTACATTGACTCAAAACAGAAAAGAGAACTTTGCTTTTTGAGTAGGAAGAAGCTCCACCTCACTCAGAGTATCACGGCTCCCATCATATTACATGGGAAAGACCATTTCCCTTACTTTTATGAACCAAAAACTACGCTGAATAAGATGTCTCCACTTTTACATTACCATCTTTTGGAGTAGATCACGTGCTACAGGCAGCTAGGGGTTTGTCTTGCAAAGAACTGGGAACTGTCGCTATCACAGAAAATGTGAATGGGTTCCCCACAGCTTGCTTCTCCTGCAATGAGTGTGCTCTTCTATGGGTGCAATAGATTAAAAAAAGTAAGTGTTGTCTCCATTATTTGGCCATGCAAAACTTTCAGAAACCTTTCCCAGCATCAGCAGTCACATTCAGGCCCCTCTAGGCAGTCGTTTTCCTGAATAAGAAGTCTCCTTTGTGACAGGCAGTGAAGAGAGTTTAAGCCACGTGAGAAGCTATCTATTAAAAGAAGAAATTCAATTTAAACTGTAATCCTCAAACAGTCTCCGCAACTCATTGACCTGGTGCATCTTAGTTCTGCAGGACAGAACTACAGAGTGCCTTGGTCATTGCTCCAGGGCATAAGTGTGTTTGAATGTCGGGGGACACAATAATGTGGAGATGGCGGATTTGTCTTTGTGGGCAAATAAAGAACTGTCCCCTATTGGAGAGTCCCCTCCTTAAACAGAAAAGCAAATGAGCACATAGCTTATGATAACTTCATCATGACTGCCACTTAACCATGAGAAAAGCAGATCTTCTGTGTCTCACACCTTAAGCAGCTTCCACCTGCAAACGTGCCTGTGGAAAGTCCAACACTAAGAGGAGATTATAGGTTTTTCAACCCAAATACAATATTGTTTCTTCTAACATTCTAGATTTGAGACAGAAGTGAGATCAACAGTGGGACTGCCTTTGCATAGGTGTGAGGAATAAAGATTTAAAGCTTATTCCTATTATACTCTTCCCTCATGTTTTCAGGATTCCTGGGGAGTTCTCCAAAACGATCTGCAAGGCCATCATCTGGGATGAAGCATGGTTTCACGCAGCTGTCTCCAAGTTCTGCTGGAATATAGGCAAAAATACCAAGCAAATAGTGTGCTAGAAACACTCTGCCTCTGACCTTAAAATTTGTTAGCCTGTGGCTACAGGCAAAATGAGGGGAAGGGAACTACAGTGGCATTAAGCTTTGAAAACTTGATTCAACTTCTAGCACTGCTCCAGTCCTCATGTGCAATAATGAGAAAATGGTTAAATCTGCCTTCTATTTCTGCATTTTTAAAATCAAAATAACACTTTCTTACCATCTTGACACTAGGTACAATCTACTAAGGCTCATGAGATACCCAGATACTAGATAATGAAGACTGTTTCCTGGTCTAGACTCGTGCAGTTTCACCTGCTTCACTGTCCTTAAGAAAAAGAATGCAATGAATTGCTAGGATTTTACTAAGTTCATTTGGAGTTCCAAACTAGCTGTGGACATTGGGCAGCATCATCTTTACTTAGAAGTGACACTTCCCCTCAAAGCAGAGAAAGAAAAAAGCACAAGTTCTCCTTTTTTAACTAACTTTCTTCTTTAAAATGTATCACAGCACAAACAATGTATGTGAAAAACAGAACTAAGTCAGACTGTACATTTTTGCTATTTGTTGCTTCTTATGTTGCTTTTGCTTAGCTCTTTCTATATCCACAGAGCGCTAAATTTCTTTTCCTTTGGACTCTGAGAGAAGACTACCAAGAAGGTCATTGAAAAGAGACACAGCTACCATGTAACTTCACTCATGTTTGCACAAGGGTATGTGAAAGTTAAAGAGAATCCTTAAAACAGGAAGGGAAGTTGTGCAGTTCAAAACACTCATTCATATGTGAAACAAAGGAGTGAAATGCTGATGGTGATATATTATACAGGCTTGAGTCACTAGAATCAGAAAGTAGGGAAATTTGTTAAATGACCTGTTCAGATTCTGACATATTGCAGGTTGAACAATTTTTCAATACTATTCAGCCTAAAGAAAAGAAATCCCAAACAAAAATTCTGGTATTGAAGCACATTTATAGCCAAAGAAGTCAAAGACGCTAGCTGATTGGAAAAGCTGATCTTGAAGACAGAGCCAACAGCTTAGACAAAGTAAATTTTCAAAGAAGCACCATTCATTTATGATACAATATCTATTGAAATCAATAGGGACTTTGCAGCAATTTCTGTAAGTGCTGGAGAATGCTGCATGCGATGAATATATAACTAAGGCTTTATCAGCATTTCCCCTGACTTTGTTACATTTCTCAAAGCTGGACTAGAGGAATTTACCCTGACTGACTCTTAGAATGGAGACCTCAACATTGTGTTGTTTGACACGCATACACCCACAATATTTCCTAAGTAATTCTGCCAAAATTTACAGCTCTTAACTTAAAATCTTTTATACGTGTATTATGAAAAGGGACTTCCAGCAGGAAAGTAAAGGTATATTATTTCGGAAGATGTCTTAAACCTAAAAGCCCTGCCTT